CATGGTATCGATATAGTAATTTATGATTTTTTGGTTATTTGAAATGTATATATAAAATCTAAAAAAAATTATTTCATTTCATATCCTTCACGTGCAAAATTTTAAAAGGGCTTAGCAATTAATGTCATGCAGCAACTGAGTACAAAGGTCATAACTACAAAAGATACTTGTTTGCTTTACTTCTTTATTTACTGTTCTATGTTTTAAGAAAAATAACTAAGAACTTAATAGCAATAATCTCTCTCTCTCTCTCTACATATATATATATATATGTAATGTATAATAATTGAAATGTGACTGTATTTTACAAAATACTAGTCTACTAAAGCACAGCCAAGACAGGTCACTTTGTAAAGATTAAAGGTAAGTTTTATAATATTTGATATGGTAACATGAGAGTAGTGTGCTGCATCATTGTAATTTCTGTACTGTTAGCCAAACATGGCTGAAAATTCAATATAATAAAAATAAAAAATATATATAAATGTATAATATTATGAGATTTAAGCAATTTAGTTAAACATTTTTGTTTTCGTGTGTACTTTTTGTGTTCATTCTATGACGAAAGAGCCATAATTTATATTTTTTTCCTAATTTTTTATGGTGGTCAAATCTACCGAACACACACACAGATTAATTACTAAAAATAACATAAAATATAGTTTTTCTTAAGATATGTTTGATAACTATCTGAACATTATAATGATTTCGCATGTGAAATGTGAAAAATTGTCTGACGTATAAAAGTATTTTTAATCATAAAATGAAAATTACTTTGAATGTTGGATGGGCAACAATGCGAAAAAAAAAAAAAGCATGAGAAAACATTGCTTAACGAACATTGAGACTTAAAGAATTAACAAAGCCAAAATGTTTGATGAAATGTAGTAAGGTAATACTAATTTCATTATGATCATGTTTTAGTGTTAATTTATTGCTTGTACAACTAGAAGAAAAATCTTGTAATTCTATATAATTAAATTCTTTAGAAGAATACAGTCTCTGCTGAGTGCTAAATGTTTAAACTTTGCAATTAATCTCTAAAATGATCAATCATAAAGTTTCAAAATTAGAAAAAATTTTGACTTTTCGTTTTGAGAAACAAGTATATAATAATCATATACGAAGTAAGCTCAGACAAAAACTAACTAATTACTAGGTTAAAAACATAAATGTTCATGTTATTTTAATCACCTATGTGAGCAGTAAGAGCCAAATAATCGGTATCACACTTGCTCCACTCCATTGTTTTTAAAGGAACTAACTGGACATTCTGTTTTCTCTTAAAATTGTTGTTTGTTAAGGCATCTATAAGGCTACAGATATAGATTCTTCCTGATCCTGAATACTTTACAGCTAAAAAAAAGAAACAAACAAAAAACACTAAGGTCAGTTTATACAATTTCTAGAAATCAACAATTCACTTCCATACGATAAACTAAAAAGGTTAGCAAATCGAATATAAATAATTATCCATGAAGTTTAAGGCTTGACTTTGTATGATACACCATACAATTTGTCACTTCATTCATACATTATAAACAAGCAGGTTAACACTAAATCCCAACGAAATAATTATAATCCTTAATCTCCAGGTAAACAATCCTGCTTACAATAGTTTTTGGAAAACAATACAATAATACAAAACTCTTTGTATGTAGACTAACCACAAAACACAAATTTGACAAAGAAAATGTAATCCCAGTTGTATAAATTCTGAAAAATAATTCCAAGTAAAATCAATCATTTTTATCAAAACATACTTATATGATATACAATTTATATAATACACAATGTAATTTTTCATTAGTATGCAATGATAAAAATTTGTACTTTTACCATTAAAAAGGTAACAAATATTACTACTTTAAACTCCAAGTAATGACTAAACAAAGAAATTCAATGGAACAAATGACTAAATGATACAAGATTACATTACCAAATCTGTCTGCAGATAATAAGGCTAATCCATCCACAACATAATCCTCATTGTTCTGTATATCTTTTGTTTTGGGTAACTGGTAAACCACAGCTGGATCTCTGGAGACATCAAATATGAATTTAAAAGATCAGAAAAATATACATAAAAAAATTAATTGTTCAAGAACAATATCTCAAAAACATCAGTATATCACTCATTTTATTCATTTACAGTTTTCCCTCTTTGGAAGAAGGATAAAAAGTAATAATAATAAACAAATTGCCCATATTCAAAAAAGAGCTTCCTTATATCAAACAATGAGGAAATTTTATGGCAGTTAAAAGAAGTATGCTAAAAAGCATATATAGTCAATACCTAACACTAAATGATATGAATCACAAAATTTTTTTATAATACTTGCACTACTTCCTAATTATTTTCAAAAGCTCATAATGAAGAATGTTTTCTGAAATTTTGCACACTAGAAATATTTAAATGAAAACACTGATAAAGTTAAATCAAGGATAACAACAACATAAAATTTCAAAAGAAGCTTCTCAGATTTACATCAGTACCTTACAACTTTCCATACAGGTGCTTTTGGGAGGTCCCAACCAAAGAGTCCACCTTCGCACCCAACTAATAAATGTTGATGCTTCAATGAAAATACCATCTGGAGAACTGGATAGCCAGTCTCTAATGTCATCAATTTCCTACAGAGCAAAAATAAAAATCATCATTTGAGGTCATATATATACAAATCTTACAAAGGTTAATAATACAATCTTATTTTTGATAAGTTTTTAGTAGGTGATGTTCTTTCTCATGTCATACCAGTCAGATAATACCAGAAGAAAGCTATGTTAACACTACTTGGTTATATCAATTGATACTATAATGAAGCTCTGCATACCAAGCTTTGTGGGTAGTCTTTTTGAGAACATGGTTGATGGTGTGTGTGTATATATATATATATATATAAAACAATTAAGCAAACTGTGTATTTATGATATCATTAGTAACCAGAATAATGTCACTAATTTTTTGCCTTTCTCTTATACAATCACAAATGGTTTTGTTTTCCAGTTAAAGCTATAAATTCTTCATAAGTTTCTGACTACTTCAATTAAATATCTATTAACCCTATGGAAACAGGGTAGTACCCAAATATCTCGTATGAAAAATGATACACAGTGCAACAATATCTATGATAACTCTGTGCTTTCTTAACACATCTTCACAACAATGGGTAAGATTTTGTTAAAGATTACAAGTATTTTGTACACAGAAGAATGAGATTATTTTAATTATGTATTTTAATTAAAGATTTGTTATTTTTGTATTCTAATTAGTTACATTTAGACTGAATATTTTGAGTATTATCATGTTGTGCAGTGAAATGTTTAAAATTGAAAATAAAAAATGTACATACCTTTTAATTTTTTCGTTAAATTATCTTGAAAATATTCTTAGTTTATAGTCTTAATTGTAAGACTATTGTTTCACAAAAAGTTTATTTTTGATGTTTTATTTCCTTTCGTATGCTTTAGCATTATTATTTATTGTGACTCATGTCAACGGCATTCTCAGGGTGTCCTCGATAGCAACACTTCAGCCTTCATCTGAATGTTCGGACATTTGCCTACTTCATTAAGCCTGACAAACCAAGGCAGTTTGGCTTATATTATACAAAATTATTAAACCTTTCTAATATGCATTTTAGAAGATAACTAACAAATAATTAACTAAAGTATAAATAAAACTTAATTGTCTATCTAATTAACATATTTATAAGTGAGAAATAACACTAAAGCACTAGTGAGGAAAAAAAACAGTAACAGTGCTAAGAGTGTTTGACAAGTTCTCTATGGAATTCTTCATGCCAATTTTAAACTAACTGTTGGGGAGGATAGTATTTTGAAATGTGGTCTTTATATTGGTTGCAAACATTTAGCTTAAGTAAGTATAACTAGCTGAGAAATTGCAACTCTCTTTGTAGAAAGTGGGTGTGTTATCTTGTCCAGAGTTCCAAGAAATTTATTTCTCTTATTTCTCACAACTTCCCCTAATGAGCTTGAAAGAAGAATATGTAAACAAAGCAATTAACCTAAATTTTTTCTTATATATATATATATGTAAGGTTTATCAAAGTCAGTTCCAAGTTACAAAGTCCACAATTTGTGAAGTTGTGCATCAAACTGAAGTTTAAGAATTTTCTTTAATATTTCTTTTGAAAGAAAGGAATTAAAACTTAGATAGTATAAAACTTTGAAACACTACACATGTCACAAGAATTTACTTTGTTACCTCAAAATTTAATTAAGTATCTTACTATCAATGTATACCAATGAAATTAGCACCAAAAGCTACATTATAAAAAAATTTAGGGTTTTTATCATTTTAAAGTAAAAATGTTCTGTGACCTACCAGTGGGTTGTGACCCATAGTTTGGGAACTACTGTTGTAATGTATGGGGTAAAATGCTGCACAAATATATAGATATAGAGTTATTATTCATATTATAAACACCATTTAACCCTATCAAGAACAGATCACTTCTACACTTTACTAAAATATATCAGAGCTGTAACCTCCTCCCCCAACTGAGCATGGGTAAAAAAAAAAATTGTGTGGCTACTCAAGATGGAGAAAGGGATATGAGATGGTCAAGTTTGGGAACTGCTGCATTAAAGAACTTGTACTACTGCACTTACTGACAGTTTGTTTTGTAGTCAGGAAGAGATGGGATACCAACATCCCAAAGATGAACTTTTCTATCTTCACCACCACCTAAGTGTAATAAAAAAAACAGTTTTGTTGATGTTTTGAGGTATTTTTAACTTTGCATAGTGCATAATACATCTCTACTAATTTTATCTTGAAAATTACCTAATATCTAAAACTTAAAACTCTATAACCATTGTAAATATTTAAGTGTTCCTCATTTGTTAAACTTTATATTATAGATAGAACTATGCCAAATTACTTGATATCTATGCAACTTAATTCCTTCAATAAACTCATTGTTTTTAAATACATTAAATGCACAAAACTATTTGCAAATATACTTTAAAATATATGAATAAAATCTTAAGTATGTTGTCCAAAGAAATGAAAAACATTAGATTTTTAAATATATGAAATGCTAACAGAAGTAGATTTTTTGACATACTTGTAGAAAAGAAGCAATTTTCACTTCAGAAAAAAAATGTTTTCTCAAACTAAAATATGTCAACTTGTATCTTCATCAGGGTAGAATACAATACAAAAACTGAATACAAGTTATAAAATAAATATTACTTTTATGTAATATTCTAAAGAGGTGTAGGAGACAACTATCAAATAGTGTTACATTAAAACTACTAACAACATGTGTTGTGTAGGAGACAACTATCAGTGTTACATTACACTACTAACAATATGTGTTGTGTAGGAGACAACTATCAAACAGTGTTACATTAAAACTACTAACAACATGTGTTTTATGTAAATGGTTAATACTTTATAAAACTATGAATGAATTAGTTCTTGCTTAAAATAATCAAGATTTGATTTTGAATGTAGAAAATAACAATGATATTCAGACACCATTTAATTGTTATTATTTATCATAACGCAGTGGTTTCAGACTTCCAGTCAAGTTCCTAGTATTGCACTACTCACCACTATTTGAAAGAGTAGATATCTTTTCATATTAAGAATCTTCTTTCAACACTATCACGTAAATAAAATACCAACAATGTCCTTAAAATATACCTCAACTATTGATTCTAATCACTGTTTCGGAATTCAGCTTTCACCTATACAAAACATATTAATGGTATTTCTTATAATTATAGATACATTACCTAATGAAGTTTTACCAGTCACATAAAATGTTACTGCCAACATCTTGACAAACACAACATCAGACACAGGGAATAAAGGAAACACCAGACACCCATTCTCTAATTGTCCATTTGATACTTCTAAATTCCTAGCTTCTAGATTTCTAGTGTTGAAGTTTAAATCCTTAATTTAACAAGTGAGACTGAAAAATTCCAGATAGTTTCCAGAATCATCTGAAGTATTATCTGCTCTATTTTTCAAAGAATCTTAAATGAGTTTAAAATATTATTGTAAAATTGTCACACTTATGTAAACAGAATAAAACAGTACTTTAGAAATGCTGAAAATCATCAGAAACTATACAGTCCTCACACTTAAGCTTGAATTGAATAATGAAAAGTTGCTAAATGAAATGTAAAAAATCTAAACTGGATTTCTTGTTCTTGTAAATAACTTGAAACCCACATAGTCATATTTATTCTTAATGATGTATCCACAGAACACACAATATTTGAGAGCTACCTGCAAAAAATTACAGATAATGACAATCAGATCATAGCTTTGAACACAATTTTATTCAGTCCTGATGTCATATAACTGTATACACTCTATTTTCATAGATGAGGGTATGAATAATTTAACCAGTTTCATTAAAGTAATTACTGGAGTCCCTTCAGTATATTACTCTTTCATGTATTGAAGGAGAATTAGGGTTTGTCACCATAAAAATTACTGCAAATTAAAAGTTACCTCATTTGTATTCAGGTTTTTGTAAGATACTGAGCCACAAGGAAAACATAGATCAATTGTTATTAAAGAATATTATTATATCATTTTTTTCTAAAGGTCAAATTCACTTTCTTTTAACAAAAAACTTTTTTAAATTTGTAAGCCAGATAATTTAATGTATTTACTAGTAATTAAAACAATAATGTTAAGTAGGTAAGCACAACCATAAAACAGCACATTAAATATAGGTTCTGCAAAAACCTTCTGTACAATGTTACATAAATATGGATTCAAAATGGTATAAACAGGATGAAACAAGTAATATACATGCCAGTATCATAATAATCATTTATTACCAAAACAAACTTACTAAGCAACCATGTGGTTTGGGTTGGGTGGAACAGAAGACTGTTTATAGATTGTGTGTGAGCTTTATAACTGTGATAACAGATTAGTTGTGATGGATGAAGAAGGCAAATATCTTTAGCTCGACCACCAACAGCAAGTAGGTTTATGTTATTTCCAGTTTTTCCTGTGTCTACTGAAGTCCAACACAAAGTGTAGAAATCCTAGAAGAAATGACCACACAGTAATCTGTACTGTATGGTGCTTTCTGCATACCTTGAATTAATATACTAAAGCAAATAAATTTAATGAATAAAAATTATTTAAAGCATCAAAAACAGCTATTAAACTTGAGTTATAAATGCTTATGTATAAACTAGTTATAACAACAATCATTTACTTAACTATATTAAATGAATGCAAAATTCTGAATTTTCTCACGATACCTCCCCCATTCCTACTTGTACATATATCTGATGGGTCCAACCATGACAAAAGAAAAAAATAGGAGAACTTAGTTTTAAACATACTGACAGTCAGTGGTTTTTAAATTCTGAAACCACTCTCTGACTTATTTTTTTCTTTGGCAACACTGTTTTTAATTTTAAGTCTACACAAGAGCTAATTCCTACTTGACTGTATGTTTTTTTTATTATTATTATTTGTTATATCAACTGCAACTAGTTTCTAAGTAATGACAGCTTTTTCTAAAATATTTTGGTTTATAAATCCACATATAAGATACTTCAACAGAGATTCCAAAACTTTCTTATGATTGGTGACATAGGCTTATTATGTGTTTAATAAAATTTCAAAATATTTTCTACTGGTTTTTGCAACCAAGATTACAAATGTTTAACTTTGCATAAAAGGTCTTTATCCATTTCCACATGTGCCTGGCTAACAATACAGAAGTTACAATGATGTGGCACACATGCACTCATGTTACTGTATTCAATAATATAAAACTGTCCTTTAGTCTCTACAAAGTGACCAGTCTTGGCTGTGCTTTAGTGGACTAGTATTTTGTAAAATACAGTCACATTTCAATTATTATACATTATATGTGTATATAGATTATTACTATTTACAAATAAGTTCTTAAACTTATTTTTCTTAAAACATAGAACAGTAAATAAAGAAGTAAAGCAAACAATTATCTCTTCCAGTTATGACCTTTGTACTCAGTTGCTGCTTGTCGTAGCTTGCTAAGCCTTAAGAAATTTTGCACGTGGAGGATGTGAAACAAAATAATTTTTTTTAGGTTTTATAAATACATTTGAATAACCAAAAAAATCATAAATTACTATATTGATACCATAGAATTCCACTCAAATAAGGGTAAAAACTGGGATGTTTGATAACCTTTGACATATAATTACACAGTTACTCAAATTCCTTTTAACCAACCAAGAGAAATGAATAAGCGTAGCTCATTTATCAGTTAAATGCATACTTAAGCAAAGTAAACACCTAGTAGTTTTGGATATTTCTGAAGTAGCCTAAATTTAAAGTCAAACAATTTAACAATATAAAAATTAGAATACTATCAATTTATATAGTAAAATAAAACTTTTGATGTTTATAACTTTATCTTACAAAGTTTGAAAACCATAAGCAATAAACAAAACTAGAAATAATATTTCAAATAATATTGTATTACTGTGTTAACAAGTAACAATGTTTAACTTCCCCACAAATGTTTCATTTTTAATTTGATGATATGATACAAGTTAAATTTTTAAAAGTTACTTGTGTGACATCAAAAAATTGTCAGTATTTCTTTATAAAAAAACACCTTCTATTATAATAATTAATATTTGGGAATATTCAGTGTTGATCATATAGTCCTAGAGTAACCTAAATAGGTCAAACAAAGTTAAAATAATGTTAATATATTCTGTGAATGGTTAGCTCAGTCAGGTTATAATCCAGTGATCTTAAACCTTATCTTTATTTCTAATATTGTGACAGATATGAAAATAAAAAACAGTTAACACAAACATTTCATATTTTTTAATTAAAATTAAATAGCTATGATATGATTATTTAAAACCACAGTTAGAAAAATGATGCTTGTTTTCAAAAATATTTTTATAGTTGTTACTTACACAGTTGCCCTATTTGCATTTTCAATTACCTTCAACATTAACAATATGGAAAAAAATCTTTCTCATAAAAAGACTAACTTCTAAACAGTGAAACATTTATTCTTTGACAAGTCTATGGCATAAGAGTTGTAGGTGTTCTAAACAATACTATCTATGATGAAAACAAATCTCTAAAGTCTAGAGGCATGATCAGCAAGTAAAAAGGAATGTGCAAAAGTTTAACATGGAAACATTTAATTGATGTTCACACAAGAAAAAGTACCCATCCCCAGTGACAGGAAAAGTTTAAGTTAATCTATCAGTTTAAATTATTTCATAGACTTTAAAAATGTTAATTGTGTTGCATTCTTGGTTTCACACACAGCCAAAGCTCTGAGCTACTTATACCACCCTACCATGTAAATTGATTGTTGAGCATTTCAGTCATACTAAGAGCTGCTCAACAATAACATACGGTAAATCTACATTTTTATTCTAGAATTTACGTCACAATTTGAAATGTGAATGATAGTGTGATTAATTCT